TACTGTTTCGCCCATGATACCCCTCATGCATTGCCATTCCTAAGGACTCAGGTGTTATTCCTCTGTACCCAGTAAATTCACGCCATATCCCACCCTTCAAACCGAAACACAGCCATGCAAATACAACTGCTTCACGATTGAAACACGAATGGGACAGAGGTACCCAAGCAATCGACTTTTGTACAAAGTCTCCCTCTGGCGATGTTTTAAGAAGGACGTTGCTATCCATCCCTCGACCCTTAGTCGACTTATACGATACCCACGGGAAAGGAAAAGATGACATTTTATGTCCGGACCAACCTATATATTATAATAATTACAATAGTTACATACTTTATATCTTGCTCTGTTTCATGTAAAAAACGATGGACCTAAGTAGGTATAGGTAATACTCTGTAATGTCACCACATCAATTCATTCATATATTACAGAAGTTTTTATTTTGTTTACTAATATGTAGTTGTAAAAAAACTGCGAAAAAGATAAAATTTTCATTTTGTTAGTAGGTATCAGTATATATTGGTTACAAGCTGAATCCCGCAGCTTTGTCCATTTGAATTGTGATAAAAAGCATTCTATGAGTTAATTTAGGACTTACTTCCATTTCATTTCGTTCAAGCTGTTGACTAAAAAGGCGCAAACGTGACATTAAAAATTTATCTTAAATATTTATGTATTAAATTCTTCAATTTGTTTTCGGTTAATGATCATCGCATTATTGTGGTAAATATATATTGGTACTTAATATATGCCATAATAAATTGAAAATAATGCATTGTAAAATTATTGTCATTTCGTGTTTGAGAACAAACACGAAATGTTTGTCCGTTGGTGTTTCACGTAGAAATATCGCGCTTATTGTAATGATGTATTCAATTGAGTATATACATTAACATATAGACTGTTTACAAAACGGATGGCTTAAAAATGAAAAGTATAAAAAAAAATGCAGTACAAAATTAATTGACATTGTAACCTACAATGTACGTATATATGTACGTACATGTACGTATGTATATACGTGTATGTACCTATTGTAATAACCTTACAGTTGGTACAGCTAGTTTTTTTTATACAGGTTTATAACATAAAAGAAAAATATAGTATAAGGTTATTTACTTATTAACAAGCGACAAAGGTCTCAGGGGAATTTTGTGGATAATTTGTTTACATATAGGATTACAGTGAAGTCTTTTGTTAACAAAATTACAGATAAGTTTACAATGTAAATTTGCATATGACATAAAATATAAAAAATAAGCCGTTGGCAAAGTACGGATCATGGCTGAACGTGACGTAGGTATATTTTAATCTTTAGACGTGCCTATATTATTTCCTTATTTTTATTCGTAATATAGTTTAGAATTATGTACCTACTTATAAATAAAAAAAAAACAAATTTTGAAGATTCATCGTCATTCTATTTCAAATTCTTCATGCAATTTATTGTATAAAAATGTTAATTATTATAATTATGGTGCATTCTACATCTGCCTATTACTGTTTGCCTAATAAAGAATAAAAATTATAAAGGCGTGTAAGCTAGCCACTCATGGAAAATAGTAACCCTCTTCTGTAAACACAACGAGTTATTTAGTATACTGCATCTCCCAAAATATTTCATAAATTTCTACAAATAGAAATAATCGTACTGAATCTCTTTCTGTTTGTAGCACTACAAAATTACTCCCACATGAAGTTAGTCATTTGCCATTATGGACTGTGCATAGAATTTAAAAGTATTGTAAATCTGCATGGCGTCGTTTTGTAATAATTATTATACCGTATATTTTATCGTGAATGTTATTGGGATGATTCTACGAAACTAGTCTCATAAAAATGTCACATAAATGCCCAATTTTTACTGTTTCCCTGAAATATAAATTCTGTGCTGACATGGTTTGCTTCAGCACAACAGTGCAATATTTCTGTCTTTCTCTCCTCATTACGGATGTGAGTGATAGGCTATATAGTATGTAGTTTCAATTATATTACTACATGGAATTATGCAATTTTTTAACAACATTTAATATATCTAATCATTTAATATATCTAATATCTTAAATGTTTGAGTTCCTTTGTAATATGACGTATAATATTATTTGTATCTCTATTTATATAAAAATATTTATAGAATAAAAAGACCATATATATTAACATTATAAATCGTCAGAACGTACTTAAAGTGACCGAAGCGACAACTGTAAATGAGTTTAAAGAATTGTAAAGATGTTTTTTATCAAACGGGACGCCTGTCCAATTTCGGTGGACTTTTCCACTGTGCTTTAAACTTCTAGTCCCCGGAAAAACTGTTGTCTCTGAAATATAGAATGGATCTTTTATAATATGATTTCTAAAGACATTAACTTTTCTGAAGATTCGAAACAAAAAACGTTCTCTGAAATTAGACAGAAATCTTACTTGCTGAAAATCAGCCTTTTCAATATTTGTTATTGTATTAAACTGAAAGAACTGTGTATTTGAATAAATTTTATAAAAGTCACTGTATATTTTTAGGAAGTCGCAGCCTTTATACGCTCTCCAGATTATCACTTCCAAAAAATTTCATATTAATAGTACATAGACAGAATTTCATTGTTTAAAAAATACTAAGTTATTTTATCTTGTGCGAAGAAAGTTAATTCTGGAGAAATAGTTTTTGTAAGTAATATAATGTTAATTGATGTTTAAATTACAAGAAACCTCTGCTTGGATTGACGAAGTCTAAGGTACACCTGAATCAGTACAATACCTATATTTAATGTTCAATGGATATTTATCTCATGTCAATAGTCGAAGTTTACGTACCGGTTTCCATCAACTGTGTCGTCAACTTTAACACCATTAATATATAAAATAAGTTAAATTTGTCATGTTCAGATTACATTACCCGGATGAAGAAAAAAAGGTGACATCATTCTAGCTTAAATTTATAATATTTATTCCTCGCAATTTACGTCAACTTCGCATATTAGCATTTACATATATTTTTCACAGCTGCTTTTCTCTAAAGCTTTTGTTTATATTGTTTCTAATATTATAGTCGTAAATGTGAAACTGAGTTTATTTGTTTGTTGCGCTTAATTTAACGGCTTAAACTATTTGGGATGGAGAAGGACAAAGGCTACTTTATATCCTGGTCTGTCAACATATCCCGGTAACGTGGACGAAGTAGCGAGTAAAAGTTAGAAGAATATACATAAATAACAGACGTAATTTTAATTCTGTACGTATTTTTTTTTATTTCTGATTGAGAATTACGCAATCCTTCCTAGTGTTATAAATGTGAAAGTTTGTTTGTTTGTTACCTTATAGCGCTTTAACGGCTTAAGCAATTACTATTGGAAATATGATATACACATACTTTATCGGATGCAGAAGGAAAATGCCTAATTTTATCCTGATCTTTAAACACATCTCAGTCACATAGACAATGTCGTGAGTAAAAATCCATGTAATGTAAATTTCTGATCGTTACTACTAACTTACAGCCACGCATTTTCGTCTATATAAATGACTTAATTATATTCAAAGAAATTATTCCACAAAAATAGGCTTATATGGGACCAATATTTGAGCAAATCCTTTCATACGCGAAAAAAATATCAAAATCCGTTTAGAACAGGAAAACACACATTGCGTAACACACATACATTTAAAGTTTATTACGTCATAACTCCATTAATTATAAATGGATTTAGAAAATTCTTTTGTTTATCTAAAAGGATATACTTAAAGATTGGTTCCCTAGAAATTTCATTAAAATCGGTTCAGCAGTTTACTTTTTAAATCAAAATAACTGGTTTTTCTGGACAATTAAAGTCGTTTTAGTGCAACACAATCCTAAATGATTGAAGTCACATAATAAATCACGGAACCACTGATTAATAATCCAAACGAAGCATCCTACCTCTGTTATCGGGAAAGCATTTGTGACAATTCTGTAAGGATGGATGGATGTTTGAACTAAGTTTTGTATATGAGTAGTTTATATTTTACTTAAAACATATAATAACACACATACAATATTCACACGAGCAAAGTCACCGGAAATAGCTATATTTTAACATGTACTAAGATTTTAAGTTAAAATTTCAATACATAAAATTATGAATTAATGTAAGACAAGAAATTAAATACTGGCAGTTCAGAACTTGGCTACCTGCCACCATTAAGTTCTCTAGTGAACAGATGGCAGGACAGGAAGGACGAGGTAATAAAGTAATCATAATTTGCGATCCACCGCACCAACTTCCGAAGGACGCTCTTACTGCGTATACCCATTTTAATTTTTCAGGGTACCAAAATTTACCTTTGAATTGAAACAAATAATAATAAATGTACTAATTATTTAACTGATATGGTAGTATTTTTTAAATTTTCCTCTTATTTTTTCCCTTATCAATTGTCCCATAAATATCTTTAAATACCATGGAGTTATATCAGATCGTTTAGGTCTCTCCTAGAAGTTATTAAAGGTTTTGTGCTTCTTGTATTGAGAGCAATCCGTATTTTGTTATTAATGATTCCACCAATGGTAGAAATAGTTCGTATGTATTAGGAAATAATATGGAACTCTACCACAATCTTATTACTGATACTGATTTTTCTAGATGATTTATTTAAATAGTGCTCTAATTATAACTCTATTCTTACAATAACATGCTTATAATTTTTTTTTTGATACAATAAATATGAAAATAAAATTAAATGTAAAATATAAAATAGTTAAATAAACTTGTCCTTTGATCAATATTCTAGTTCGTTTATAAGAACGCCTTTTGAATAATCTAAAAATGTATTAGAAGTAAATGTTTTAAAATTAGAAAATTTATTTAAGTTTGAAAATTGTATTTGAGGATCAAAGTTTTCAAATAGAAAAATATTTAAATGGTTCAAATATCATGTTCAAAATAAGTTTAAAAATAACAATAAAAATACACAATATATGTAGTTGCCGAAAACAATTTACTAAAATGCTTACTAAGTTCATAGTTTTAATTAGCTGAATGACTAAATAAAACAAAAATATCTTTACTTTCATAAATAAAGGAGTTTATATTAGAAAGGTTAGCCTATACCTTAGGCCTGTATGCAATTTAACATTTCTAGTTTCTCTTCGTTTATATGTGAGGTACATTTTTCTCTTTCTTACTCGACGTATGACTGCCGAGAGCAAGAAGGTAGGGACAGTATAACTTAGCAGCAAATCTAGACTCGTGTATCTTCGGTGGGTTTCGTTGAATATCAGCTTCTAAACGAACAGTAGTCGTCTGAATTGGTCTGCCTAGTAGCCTCGACGCAACGAATACACTTGCGGCAGTCACCGCCGGTACCTCGGCGCGGAGAGAACTTATAAAACATGTCTCTCAATATCGCGCCTTCGTCGCCGCATATATTGTAAACAAATCATTGTCAATTGAAATAAACACGTATCTTGTTCAATGAAAATGATGCTCATAAAGATCAATGATGAATATGTAATTGACAACAAATCTATACGACCGGCCACAGTGAATTGTAGAAGTTGGAAGTGAGATTCGAACGAATTCTAGTATGGTGTAGATGGAAATTTAGGGTTTAGTGAAAGGAGCTCAGTATTATTAAAGTGTTAACAGTGTTGACTATTTGGAACTGTGTTTGGAACTGAGTTTAATGTATTGAGAATATTGCAACATAAAAAGTACTGAACTGGAACTGAGTGCACCTGAGCATGTAGCTGAGGTTATTCTCAATGAACGCTGTTAGCGAAGTATCCAAGTCAAGGCGTTTTGCAACGTTGATTGTTCATGATCTCATTACTTTAAACGAATAGGTAAGCTAGTTATTATTTTATCTAGAACTTCAGAAATTATTTTCCATTGACGTCTTTTTTGAATTTTTGTTAGTAGATAGATACCCTTAGGAGTTTGAAGCGATTACAGAAATAAGCAGGTTATAAAAACATCTTTATTTTTTTTTGGATGCTTGTTACGTGATTTATTCTCATTTCTAAACCGATTTCTTTGCCGTCGGTAATATATTTTTATGTTAGCTCCATATTCAATTTGTTGTAATTTAAGGTTACTATTGTGTATTTGCGGAACAAAATCTTATTAGGTTATCTTTAGTTCGTTCTTACTTAATTTTTTAGGAAATTAACTAAATATCTAAATAGGTGGGTAGTAGGTTCGAACCCGCATCAAACTGATGAGACTTATCTAATTAGGTGTACAAAAACGAATGATCTCTAAATTTCTACTAACTCTCAATTCATAAAGATTTTTATATATCAAGAAAAAGACTACCTAATAAAATGAACATAATTGATTATTATGGGACTAACCAGCGAATAAACTTCATTCCTCAGAATCGGCGTGAAAACGACCATACCTATCACAGAAATGAAAAATGATCATACTTCTTTAATAATTCGATCCGTATTATCAACAAAGCAGACATCGCTCACTCTACATACATGGGGGAAAGGGATTGTTAGTAATGGGCTCTAGTTGACACATTGCTAGCCATACACCTTGAAAACCATCGTGTTTAATTCTAGTGGAATTCGTCACGATGGTATAACTGACCTGCTTTCATCTTCACCTATCGTCCCTTACCGGTGCCCCACCAGCGTATACCGATAGCGCGGGCGGGGTTGCCATTCCATTATTACCCTTTAAAAAAGACTCTAGGTACATTGGGTATTTTTTTTATACAACATAGAATGGCAAACAAGCTGACTGCCCACCTGATGGAAATTGGTAACCGTCGCCTATAGACATGAGCAGTAGGACATAACAGAGTATACTGTTTCGCCTATGATACCCCCCATGCGTTGCCATTCCTGCGGACTCTGGTGTTATTCCTCTGTACCCAGTAAATTCACGCCATATCCGTCCCTTCAAACTGAATCACAGCCATGCAAACACAACTGCTTCACGGTTGAAACACGAACGGGACAGAGGTACCCAAGCAATCGACTTTTGTACAAAGTTTCCCTCTGGTAAAATATATAAATGGTATAAATTCATAAAAATAACTCATTATATTATACACCTATATATAGGTACTGTTAATATTACACAGCTGTACACGATTATTTTAATTATTTTCCTGTGCGCTTTACTACTCAATAAGACTGATTTGATTGTTATTATATTTATAATCGTATTTCGCAGCTTTGCTCGTACTCATGAGTAAGACGGACACTATCCTATGTGTTAATCTGTCAGTTTGTCAAATTCCATCAAATCCGTTCAACCGTTTGAACGAGATTAAGTAAAAACATCGGGATATCTTTTCAAACTTCTTCCTTATTAATATAATATTATAAATGTGAAAATGAGTTTGTATGTTATTTTTTGACGTCTTAACGGCTAAACTAATGATCACAAAATTTATTATACACATATCCACCACTAGTAATACAGATTCAGATTCAGATACTTTATTCGCCATGTAAACAAAGTTACATTGAGCTCGTCGATTACGTAATTAATTTTAATAAATAGGTACAGCATAATTACTGTCAACTAAACATTAAATAATTTTTGCTTTGTCATGTACTCATTAATACGATAATAATAATTATTTGAGAAGGACATAGGCCTACTTTTTATACCGATCAATTAATACTTGTATATTATTTTGGTCTCGCAGACGAAGTGGCGAACTATTTCAAAATAAGAATGATTAGGTTTTAGGTATATTTTGGAGTTGGAAATAATGAAAAATTACGGGTCATGATATGACACTACTAATGAAATAAACTCAGAGAAGGTGACTAATATATATAATATAATCAATAGTAATCCCACAATACACTTATTTTTAGTAAATAAAACATCCGATTAATGACTAAATATTTTATCGACAGCAATAAATTTTTCTTTAAATTAAGTTGTATTTTGCTCTCCAAGCAGCTTGAACGATTATAAAACTTATTTGAAACAAATACAAAAGTAAATAACAAAATAATATTAAAATCAATTCAGAATTCTCCTTTATAAGTGATAAAATATTATTTCCACAGGTTTTTATTCAACTATAATATTTTATAAATCGATATCGCTCTGAGGAGGCAAAATCATTCTTATGTTCAAATTGTGATATTCATTCTAAAATGGTGATGTATTCAAATAATACCTATATCTACGCACAAAACAAATACAGATGTAATGAGAACCTCAAGTTTTTGAAATTGCTTAAAAATATTCTAAATAATGTTCTTGAAGTAATAAACGTTGGGTAAAGGAATTGCCTGGAAAACTTTCTTAAACATAGATGACTTGTTTTCCACTTTCTGTATTGCGGCGTGGGAAGGCAATAAAATACGGATGTAAAAACCAGCCACCTCGCTTAGGAAAAAGTTATAAAATTTAACCAGCCCTCGAGTTGCATTTTTATCTACCATCACTTGCATTTTTTTTTTTTTGTAAATAAAAGGATAACCTGCATCGGACGGTAACAGAATACTAGCAACTAGGACCGCGCGAAATTATGTATCTTTTTATTATTCGTATATTAAAATATTAAGTCCTCATCATTGCTCTGTCATCCCGGGTAACAAGTACATTTTGCTTAGAAAATTAAAAAACACGACTGCCTGATTTTCAAAAGCGAAAATATAGCCAGTAGCACTCGTGATAAATGATAAGAATTTTAATATTAACCATACATCTTAATCTATTATGGCATTTTAAATTCTTTATAGCTCCAAGAAACTCGCATACATCCAACGTAAAAACCCAACCTGAAAGTATTGCACTCCTTTTATGGCCAATCGTTTTAAAATAGTATGTTTTAATCTTTGTAATAGGTTGAATGGTCATTTTGCAATCAGTAACATTTCTTTTTTCTTTACTATGATAATACTGCTATTAATACAAACTGGATTTCCCCTAGACACCACATCTATATTCAAAACATTATCTTGTTAATATTGTCGTAAAATTATAACTACTGTGAATGAATTATGATATTTAATTAACGATTACCATAATCATGCTTATATATATAAGATTATCTGAGAGAAATAATATCTCCGTAACTACAAATTAGTATTGTTTTGTTTTATCAAGTGTAGTCAAGAATTCAAGACTCGAAACTATTCATGTGTTGGTAGGTATAGTAACAACCTCATCACTTTTGAAAAGATTTTAATTTTTTTTTTAATAATAATGAGTGTTGTCCTCATACTATTTTAACAATATTGACTTGAACATAAATTTTAACCTAATATTTGGGATTCAAATTAAGAAAAAATATCCATTTCCTTTTAGATACGATTAGGATTAGTACAATATTAAGAGTAAATGCCTTTTTTAGGATATCTTACAAACAAAGCGAAACAAAGCCCTATTATTACCACCACTTTGTGGACCGTTTGTTTATCAAATGTCACGGCTCGTGAACGGAATGACCTGATAAAATTTTAACGTTATGTGTTGTTGACCCAAATAAAAATAAAATGTTTCAATTTTTATTGCATTTCTTTAGTTTTATTTATTTCGAACAATATATAAATTATCCTAAATATTAGCTTAGTATATAATCTACCCGCATACCAAATCTAATTCAAATCTGATCAGTCCTTTAAGCATAATTGAGTAACAAACATGTTAACATACAAACTTTCAAATTTATAAATGCGTAATATTCTTAAGACTGTTTTTAAAAATTAACATCACAACCCTTCTGTATACTTCGGTATAAAAACTTTTATATCTTTTATATCGATTTTGTTGGTCCTTAAATAGAAATTCTGGAAACTAGCGTGGTTAATTCTTGTCCAATTCGTCATGTTGGGCAAACTTTGCTTTCATTTCCAAGTATTTTCTTTCATTGGTGCCCTACCAGTGTATACCGATAGTATAGTATAGGCGTATTAAAAAAAAGTATGTATGCTCGTGCGCATGTGTGTGTACACGTGCATGTGTATGCCACGCCATGCGCCTTCGTTTAATGTGATTAGTTATATGTATGAAGGCGTACGTCATAGAATATATATTATGGCGACATCCATCAACGAAGACAGTTTAGATCATTTTGCACTCTCTTTTTCCATTCTTTTTAAACCACTTTATTTAGAATGTTTGATATAAATTCCATTAATTTAGATATAAATTCCATATTCATTAATTTTCCTCTAAAATATAACTAAAAAGAATAATTGTACTCTACAAAAGATTTTTGTAGACTATAATTGCACTTTTTAGTTTTAGCTTAATGTAGAATATAGTATTATATTTATATTTGAATATTTCATTTCTTGGACAACTTATAGCAATTATCTTCATCATTTATTGTATATATTTTTATATTAAAAACTATAAATACAATAACATGTATGTACTTTGTGCAAATTAAAATTTTTTAACATATTGTTTAGATATCCCAAATGTAGGATTACACATTATAGAATATTTATTTACAAAACAAAAAAGATTAAACGGAAATTAGTTATAAATTAAGAAAATTTAGTCCTAATGCAGTGTTTTTCAATTTTGTTTATGACGCGAACCCTTACGATGTAAAAATATCTTGCGACCCCCATCCTCCACGGTTTCAAATGTGTATGAATTTTATAATAGTGCAATTATGAAATCTGTACAGTTGTATTTATATTCACAGTTAGGTATAAATAAAATAAATAATACATAATAAAGTATCTAAAACAGACATGTAATCGATGTCTATTGTAGATACTTTATTATGTATTATTGATTGATTGATGTACTCACGGGATTGTTGATTTTTCACTGCTTCGTGACCTTCCGCGACCTCCTTGTAGAGGCTCGAGGACCCCACAAGGGATCGCGATCCACACAAAAA